GTGTTGATGATCTTAAGCTAGCTGGCAAGTGGAAAGTGGGATTCATAGATAGGAGACATGTGTTGATCCAACTAACAGTGGTTGAAGACTACACCAGAATTTTTTCCAAGAATATCTTAATATCGAAGGCAAATCAATGAAGTTACTCAAGTGGTCTCCTAATTTCGATTCAAATCATGAAACTCCCGCAATACTAGTATGGTTTAGTTTACCTGGTCTCAAGCTGCATTTTTTTGACCATCAGGTTCTCTACTCTATTGGGGCCATCCTTATGATCCTTTGAATCTAGATCTGCCTACTTTCAACCTAACCAGACTCTCGGTGACCAGAATACTTGTAGAAATGGATATTACTTTACCTGATATTACTGAAGTCTAGTTGGGCACAATCCATAATAGTTATTGGCAACAAATCATCATGGAACACAAACCCCCATATTGTACCCACTGTAAGATGTTTGGTCATATGCTTGTTAAATGCCACAAATTTCATCCTAATTTGAAACTAAGGTTAAAGTAAATAAGGATGGGTCTAACCCTACTGCTGTGGACATTTTAGTTCCACCTGAGGAGGATACTACCAGACAGGAGGTGTCTGTTGCACCTGAGGACCCCCCCATGACACTGTTGTTACTGTTACTGCGAGTGATGCGATGTTGGCACCTACAAACTCCATATAAAACAATACTGATGGGCTATTACCTATAAATGATAGTGTTCAGACTGATAATCAGGAAAGCCTCGCAGCTCCACTTCTTCAAGAAGTATCTGGTATAGCGGCAACTCATACTTCACATATTGTAGAACCTATTGTGGGTATTACTGTTGGTAATCCTTTTTTCTTCAGCTCTACCCCATCAGGCGGATTCTTCGGAGGAGGAATGATGAGTTTACACTTCCAAGAGGAAGAAGAAGAATGGAGATCTACTAGAGCTCAGGAGTCTTATGGATGATACTTTAGTTACTACGGGTAATGGTCAGCACCTTACCAATCTGCTAGCTGGATCCCTGCCGAGAACTAGACTCAGAGGCAAGGCTAGATTGGGATGACCCACACTTTTTCAGCGCCCGAGTGGTTTTTGGATTTCTTTTTATTTCTATATGTACCCATCTTTTACATTTTTTTTGTGTGTGTTGTATCGTGTGGGTTGGGTGTTTAGGCCCACCCATACAAACCTATCCGTATCTTTATCTGTAATATATCAGCCCTTGGATTTTTTCATAAATATATATATATATATATATGTGTGTGTGTGTGTGTGTGTGAGAGAGAGAGAGAGAGAGAGAGAGAAAAGAGCAAGATGTCCAAACTAAAGACAAAAAGAGAAAAATTAAGCAATTCTCTGATTCATTTGGACAAGAAAATTCTAAAAACACTTGCTTGGATACAACCCTTAGAACAGAAGAAAATAAAGATCATGAAAAGCCTTCGAAGGTAGAAAAGAAAAAGAAACATTAGGTGATACTTTATGGCATTGGGGTAGTATTTAGGAGAGTTTTACTAAGAAACTTCAGGAGCAGAGTGAATTGTGTGTCAATCAAAAAAGTGATTACAAAAAAATCTGATGATGAAGCGGCTTATGCCTCTACCAAACATCGAGAATCCGTGAACTCAGATAACTTAGTCAATGATCTACAAGAAAATGTGGACAGAAGCAGAAAAGATGAGAAGAAAGGTAAGAGTAAGAAATTAGAGAACACTTCTGATGTTGAAACGACAACAAACAAGAAGAGGAAGAGGTCTTCATCCAATGAAAGAGCATTAAACGTTGCTGAAGAGGAAAAGGAAACTTGTGATCATAAAGTTCTGACATGCAGCGAAGCTTCACAACTCAATCAGGAATTCAAAGAACCTGCAAAGGTACTTTCCAATGTTGTCTTGGATAAGCTTGAAGAAAATGCTAACTTACAGAATCCTCAGAAGAAATTGAGTGAAAATCAGCTTGTGAATGGGGGTATTGACGAGCATCAAAAGGAAGGAAGCTCTGTGCAGAAGTCGATGAAAAAGGAAAAGCATTTTGATGAGGTATGTCTTGTGTGTTTTTGAATTTTGCATGGTGATATATGAAAAGATGGCAGTGGACTATCGATCTTTCTTTTATTGTGTAAAAGTGAAAAGATATGAACTTAGATGTTTGGAAGTTCTGGGTCAAGTAGAGGAAGGGATTTCAGGCATGAGAAGACAAAGAAAAAACGTGGATCATACAGGGGAGGGCAGATAGACTTACAATCACACTCCATAAAATTCAATTATTCAGATAATGAGTGAAGTGTAAATTTTTATTTAGGAGCATGCCCAAAGTTAAGAGAAATATTGAGTCTAATTTTGTAATTTTGAGATTTGTGAGGTTGGCTGAGCTCTACATGCGTCAGATTTGTATAATTTGTGCTAAATTATCATTGTTATGTAGTCAATAATTAGACATGAACTTGAAAATATTATATATATATATATATATATATACGAAATCGTAAGTTTTGCAGATTTTTATTTTTTTATCTTCATCAATTGTAATAAATTTTGAAAGCAAGAATATACTGAGAAAAAGGGAAAGAAAATCTCAAATATTACAAAAATTGAATTGAGGACTTCGTAAGTATTGAGAAAAGAAGATTACTCATATTGATTCAAATTTCTTAAAATTTAAACACTGAAATAGATTACCAATTAAAATTAATCTATTTATATATATATATATATATATATATATATAAAAAATCAATAATAATAGAAATAAATAATAATATTTGAAACTATGATATCTATAAATAAGAGCATTTTCATAAGATGGTAGGCTAATAAAAAATTTAGTGAAAATTTCTCTAATCATCATCAAGAGCAAAGAAACTTCTAGTGTGCATCAAAACATCTTCGATCTTTAGAGATACACGTGAAATCTGTTTTTATTTGATGATCAACACTGGTTTTGTGAGATTGTTTAACTCTTTTTTATTATTATTATTTAAGTTTGATTTGTTATATTAATAGATCGAGCATTAGCAAAATTTAAAATTTAATTTTGTTTTTGCATTGTGTATTATAAAAAGTTCTATATTTTAGATTTTTGATGTTGATTTGTGCAGGTTTCTCCACTCAAGCTCGTTCAGAAGGAGATTTTTGTTTGGGTAGTGGAAGTTAGACAGCTGGACTCTAGCAATGAACTGCTGGTGAAGTAAAAGCACTTGCAATTAATAAACCACTATGGTGTGGCAAGGAAAAGCATTGTAGTTTTTGAATTAATAGTTCAAGTGATAGAAATAGTGAGATGAACAAAGAAGCAACGCATATCTAAACGAAAAACCAAACTTGCTCAGATAAAGTAAATTGAAAACAGCTTTTGATGCAGACAGGATTGAGGATATAATTAAGAATTTGACAACACAACTGTGGGGAGGAAGGGGGAAGCAATTCGGGCATGCAATTGCTTTTCCACAAAAAGTTCATATTTCCAATTCCACCAAAAAATTCTTCAATCTAACAAATACCATACTGAAATCTTTTTGTGGAGCCTTAATTATGCTCACGGTACTTTTTTTGCGCTTTTAGTAACAGATATTGTACAAGTATTCATTCATCAGTTAGAGGCAACTATCCTTAAGTAGATCATTAAAACAAAATTAACAGTTTTATAATATATAAAAAGTGAAGGGTTAAGTAGCATACTACTCGGATACGAGATGAGAGTGCATCAAAAATAAGCATTCTTCCAGATAGGGTTTCACCAATACCACTGGCAACCTTTATTGCCTCCAGAGCTTGAAGACAGCCAATCGCACCAGGAACTGGTAAGAGAAAATGGAGCTGGCTTCAGCATTAAGGCATCAAAATACATTCACATTAACAATGCAAATTGAAGTCTTGAGAAAAGAAATGGTTTGCCCAAATGCCAATACGTAAGAATAAGAACTTTGAATCGTTCAAAGAAAACAACATCTAATATACTTAAAAATTAAGGCTCCATCATAATGGGGCTTGGAGAGATTTTGGTAGAATCTTTACCTCGCATTGTTGAAAGATTATTTCTGGAAAATCAAGTGGCTTTCAAAGTTCCAATGAAGCAACCCAAATTGTTGATCCCATAAAGTATAGTAGGAGAATGTCAACAACAACAACACACCATTATCCCACTAAGTGGGGCCGGCTACATGAATCCTTTTTCCCCATTGTGTCCTATCTAATAAATTAAGATCATTTTTTATACAACATACCCGAGTCTTTTTAAGTCTACCTCTACCTTTTTTAACTTGAGTAAAATTTAAAACATCTACTTTCCTAACCAGATTTTAATAAGGCCAAATTATCTAAGAAGACTCTCTCTAATCTTGTTTGTCACTAGAGCTACATCAAGTCTTTCACGGATGATGCTAAGAAGATTTGGAAGCCCAGGACAAATAAAATTTAGTAAATTGATCACAAGCCCAAAATGAAACATTCAAAGAAAGCACACTTGGCAGCCCATAGGCATAAGAGCTTTGATTTAAAAACAGAGTGATAGCTACCTCATCAACTAAATGTCAGCCCCTAATAGTTTCAAAGTAGATAATTATGTAATAACAAAGGGGTTTCCTTCAGCCAAAAATGTAACGAATTGATCAAAATCAACTTAGCCATGTCCTAACTATTTATGGCGGACTTGATGAATCCTCCTTCATTCATTAATTTTAAAAAGCGATGCACAAGATCTAAAGTATTTTGGGTGTGAATTTTATTTCACAACTTCTATCCATGGTCTAAAACTAATTTCTTCACACTCCATTAGCTTTAATTCCACACACCAACTTGATTGATGCATCTATTTCCTTCTAGTTTACATGCTGAAACCACCATAGTCAATATTACAATTATGTACTCCAGACATCTCTCTAATATAATTATTTGATCTTATCCTTCAAAGGTATACCATATTTCAAAATTTTCATTTTGCTGCAGTCAACATCGTCAAGTTCTTTGTTGCACAACAATTGAGCCCACGAGACATGATAGCACCGACTAGTTTCATCCTCATTAATCCTCATCCCTAACTGTGCTGTCCACTTTATGAATCCTTTCACACTATTTATAGTGAAAGAAATTGAAGTTATCTATAGCGTAATTTTTACTCTATTACATCATCTGATTGAATAATATGCACTTAGTTATTTTAGGCCTTTGGGTTAACTCCAAAAGATATAATCTCACCAAAATTGCATCATTATATATGATAGAACAAAGATATTAAAATTTGTTACATCTAAATTTCGCTTAATATTCAAGAATTGTTTATTTGTATTTATCAATTTTAGCTTCACTAAAATTATATATCATATAATTAGTTGGTCGTTCTACTATAAATATAAAAACCTTTAAAAGGTTATATCCCAATATTGCATTATTTGTATGATAGATCCAATGTACTCAAAACTTATGGCATCATGTATCTAATCTTTCATCTCCAGATCTCGAGTCATTCCTAAAATTTCCTCCATTGTTTTAGTGTGACACTTAAAAAGAGGTATATTGCTTAGGAGAATCATGTCCAGACCATGCAACAAGAAACCTCCTTTTGAATCATTTTGGCAAGCAACCTAATAAACAATATAAAAAAAAATATTGCATCAATATTGATCCTTGATATAAACATATGCTTGAAAACACTCCGATCACTCCACAACTAGGTTGCTTTCCCACATTCATTAATAAATAGTATTGAGTCATTGACATACAAAACTTCTCTGAAATTCACAGCAAATCAATGGTTGAAGTATCCAACTATGTCTTCGCAAGATAGCTTAAGAACCATATAAGATACTACAAAAGCTCTCAACACTTCTCAATTATTTAACCTAGCACAAATTTGCCGCCATAATATAGCTTTGTAGTGGCATAAATCAAATTATTTTTTTAATACAAAACATGATTTTTCCCAATCTTATTACCCTATTGACACAGGTGTTGAAGCCAAATGGTCGCGTGCTTGCGGGAGGAAATCCCGCCCTAGATACAGCACCTAATCAATTTCAGCTGATTTTTTTTCTTCTCCGTTTCATTCATATTTCTCTATTTCTAATTAGGTTACTTTCTGTAAAAGAACTATTTATGCATTGTCATTTCTTTTTTCAGACTTTTGCTTAGTTTTGAATATTATGGAAATTGAAATCTCTGATTTTCTACTTTAGGAGTATCGTGGCATCTTCCTCGGTATCTTGCTCATGAATAGATGGGGAACCTCCTTGCTACACATACCACTCTATTTGTCCCGCCTCACTGTTTTCAATAAGAACAAAAGCCAAAAAGCTCAAACTTGTTGTCCAACAATAGATTTTGGGTCTATTTGGTGCAACTGAAGCTTATTTAAAAGTTGTTGCTCAGAAGCTGCTGCTTGATAAGCTGGTTGTCCGTTTATTTTTTGCAGTTTTAAAACAGTTGTGTTGCAGTTGCTGCTGGACAAATGATCATGCTGCCGCTATACTGTAATGTTGTATATAACAAAACTGTTATATTACATATTTCATTTTTAAAAGCAAATATCCAGTTCGAACATTGCATAAAAAAAAGACACCTCACTAAACGGTTAGTAGCAAGACTATCAAATTTAAAAAGAACTGCTAAAATAACAATTAATAATATGTAAATATTATTTTTAAGATACAGCTAGCATATGTCATGAGATAATCCGTCCTCTAAGAAAACTCTCAACGTATGATCACTCTTTACGGTGGAATCCTCCAACTCATCCGTCAACCTAAAAAGTCACAGTTTTCTGTTTTTCTCCTTGAACACCTGTAAAACTATCTCTCTTAGTCATATAACTGTCGCGAAGTAAACAGGGAACATTGTAATATGTAGTAGCAGTACAACTCTCTGGTGAGACCGAAATTCCTCGAGCTTATCTTTCCTTAAAACTTAAAAACACAAAGGACACACCTTAGATGTAAAATTAGTAAAAATTAATAATATGAGTGAACAACTAAAGTTTTATGCAGCTGTGAGATCTCGGAGAACATAGTATAAAAACCACAAATCTATCATTACAAGAAAACGACATACCTATTAAAAAAATAATTATTGGTTGTCTTTCAACCGCGTAATATTGAACTCATGTGTCACATATGCATATTACCAAAAAAACACCGTCCAGAAGAACGTCAAAAACCATAACATTGAGAAAGAAGAGGAACTCAATTACCTTTATTGAGATTTCAAATGTGACAAGAACCAATAGAAGAACGTCAAAAACCATAGCATTGAAAAAGAAGAGGAACTCGATTACCTTTATTGAGATTTCAGATGTGACAAGAACCAATAACGACATATAAGCCATCCAGAAGAACCCTTAAGGTCGAATGTTTCATCATAGACCTCCAGAACTCACAAAAATAACATGCAAAATTGATTATGTTTATTGCCCACGATTGTCACATCAACCATTCAAGTAAGAAAGAATACATGCATAAAAGAAATATAAATGACTTCTATAAATACTGATACAACAAATATTAAATGCATAAGAAAAAAATAATACATCACTTATATAAAATACTGATATTATAAACAGTAAATGTTTTCAACACACATGAAAAATAAAACAACAAAAAAAGAGGAACTCCCTCCATTCAGCCTCCAACTATAACATCTGTAATTTGTTTCCTCAACTCTACCATCTCGCTTTAACCATACCCATCTTGAGTGCAAGTCTCAGGCACATAAATTGCAGCCTATAATAAAAATTGTCCAAAACGATATTCATAAGTCACAATAGGGAGATGTGACTGATCTTCATTAGCCCTACTGAAGTCAATTTCATTGTCGGAAGGATGTCGCCAATTATAGTTGTGAAGAGTCATCGTGGCAAGCACAATTTGTACTTGTATGAGAAATGGATATATAGGCATATCACACACTATGCCACATTTCTTCTTTAAACTCTAAATGTCCTTTCAATGACACCGCATAAGGAGTGTCTCTTTTTTAACATTTCTCTTCTGCCTCGAGTGATATTTTTTACTCTCTCAAAGTTAGGTATTGATACTTCGTATCAGGATATGGCTTCAGATACCCTATTTATAACGGATATTCAGCATCGACAAAATAATATTTACCTGACAATAATACAATTATTAGTATTATAGTAAAAACAATATCTGACTAGTTCAGTCTCAAGTAAACCTGAGGGTGGATGAAGAAAGTTTTAATTCTTAATTCGTGTTGCAAATTTGAAAATTTGACTGTCATGTGCACTGCCCTAGCAACCGGCCATAACAAAAGTGAAACACATGTTGAAGTCACATACAGTCATGACATTATACGTTGGTGAACTACATCGCCCGATGAATGCAATCTTTTCATTATTTGGAACATGCGCATCCATGCGTTTTTCATCGATCGTTCCAATACAGTTCTAAAAAGTTAAACAAGGTTAACCAAATTACTGTATTAATTTTGAAAACTGACTGTAATAAATAAGTAAAATTACCTGAAAATATGACATATACCACACATCATGCAAAATCTCTATGGGAATCCTTTCGAATGTTGGGTGAGTTGGATTGATGCCTTGTAATGAAAAACTAACGAGTGCATTCAACCCAACTGAAAAATATCTACACATTGTTTCAGATGAGTATTAGAATCGTTCCATGACTCCTCTCATAGACTCATTATGTGATAATATGTAGAGGGTTAATGCTAACACTCTCGTGAAGTCATCTTAGAAGAGTCATGAAGTTCATGACTTCTATGTAGTTTCTCCAAAAGATCTATGATACGGCCTGTCACATACAGAACATATTGTTGAATCTTGTTG